AAATCGCTTAGACGTAAGCCATTGTCGCGAATCAATTGCTTTGACTACAAGTGAGATACACTCGTCAACACAGGGATCAAGTGGTGGTGATGTATACCTGGAAAGATGTGGGAACACAGATCACGTCGAGACCCTTCTGCGCGATCCTCTGGACGGCGAACACTATAGTACTTCCGGAACCGATTCCCACTTTAAGACCATTCTGTAAGACATCCGCTCGTGTTATGCAATGGCATCCAAATGGAGAGACAATAGCGAAGACAAACCTTGAGATGATTGTCGACGGCCTTAAAGGCGGCGTCTCTTTTGGATGCATTCAATCCATTGCCGGAACTCATAATCGTTTCGCTCTTTTGACTCCGATTTGTGACTAAATTAATGAAAGACTTGTTTTGAATGAATTGATTGCAGTGTTTGAGTGCAGTTAAGGACAGCCTTGAAGTGCCGATTGTGTGATAAAGACATGCATTGACTCGCATTGGCTCACAATTGGATGCATTCAATGCTAACAACACTTTAAATCACTTCTCAATCATTAAAATCCGTTGTTTTCCTCTATTCTGGTGTGGATTTAGTGATGGTTTTCGTCCATAAAGTACGACAACTATTGGCTGTTGTCGTCATTAATGGTCTGCAAAACACGTGAATCTCTCAATCAAAACATGAGTTTGTGTTTTAAAACACGTGTTGTTTGTGTTTGGATGTGATTTAGCGGCGATTTAAGTGATTGATTGCAACCAACCGTCGCGTAACTGAAGCCAAAGACAATGTCTTCATTCAAGTCGACAACTTTGGCGACTTTGCCCTCAATTATAGAGCCATTGAGTGATTCGGCGAAGTATTGGCAGAAGTGTTTGGATGCGGCGAAAGTGGCCAAAGAGTTTTCGGCCATCAATTGCATTGATGTGAACGCAATGAACGACCTGTTGGTGACCTCTTCCACACGGATTGCTGTCTACGAGTACTACAGTATGGAAGTGAAGAAAACACTGTCCACTCCCAGCTTTGTTCCCCTCTTTGGCGCTAATTATCGTAAACCCGATTCAAAGATCATAGTCTCGGGATGTGGTGATGGAGTGGTGAGAGTTTGGGACATTAAAAACAGTAAACCATTGCGTGCTTTGGGTCTCAACGAGAAGAACAAGTCGTCGAAACACACGTCAGCCGTCAGAAGCGCTCATTTCTTCGGCAAATTAAATGTGGTTTCCTTTGGAGACGACTATCACATCAAACTCTGGGATATATCTGCAGACAGTATTGTCTCGACGTTTGGCGATAATAAGAGCGCTCACAACGATTACATCAGAGCCTCTTATGTCTGCGACAACTCGTCGACAATTATCTCAGGCTCTTATGACCACAGCGTTAAGGTATGGGATCAGAGGTCACCGCAAAAGGTTGTCCACGAGTTAGATCACGGCTCTCCTGTTGAGTCGATAACTGTCCGCAATTTGATGGCCATCTCTGCCGGCGGCGACACTATTAAGATATATGATATGATTGCCGGCAAAGTGTTGAAGACTTTAGTCAAAACCCATCACAAGACCATCACTTGTGTCTATAATTACGGACAATATTTGTTGACCGCCTCTATTGACGGTCACCTTAATGTGTATGACTCCAACTTCAATATCGCCGCCTCGTTGTCATACACGCCGTCCCAACTGTTGTGCTGTGCGCTCAACGATAAAGTGCTGGCCGTCGGCGCCAATGACGGCCTCTTTTCTGTTAATAAATTTAAAAGCAATTCAAAAGACGGCATAACTTTTGATTCAAATAAAAAGTCGTCTAAAAAGCGTTACTTTAGCGAAGAATTTGCTGAGTTTTTAGGACAACCCGTCACTAAACGGAAAAGTGAACCCAAATTGGATCAGACTTTAGTGATCAGTGGGACGAAGAAAAACCAAACATTTTTGCCTAAACACGAAGAGATGCTGAAAAAATTCAACCATTCGGCGGCTTTGAGTCGAGTTCTCCTTAAGAACAACGACGAGCCCGAAGTTGTGGTCAGTTTTATGCAGGAATTGATGAGAAGAGGTTCACTGAAGCCAGCGCTCGCCGGACGCACTGATAAACAATTGAAACCACTTTTAGAGTTTATATTAAAATATATGAAAGACCCGCGACTTAACCGTATTTTAGTGGATGTGGCGCTCATTCTGACCGACGTCTATATGTCGGAAATTAATCGCTCCAATGATATTCAATCCATGTTTAAAAAACTCACGTCTGTTATCAACTCCGAAGTTAATTGTATGCAACAAATGCTCGCCATTTCTGGCCAACTCTCGGCTATTATTAATTATTCTGTTAATTAAATCAACAATTTTTTGCAATAAAAATAATGTTTGAAAATTTTGCAAAAATGTATTTTTATAAAGTATTGTTAGTATTTGTGAAAATAATTTCCACAGTTTGTGTCGAAATGTCGGAAAAATCGTCGATTGACGCGATTTGGGATATACTTTGTTGTTGTTTCCGAAACAACAATCGTCAGAGCGTTGAGGATGTGATGGCAAATGTGTACACCACTGGGCGAGAGCCGGGCGGCGAAGACGATGGCTATCAGTTCGCCAAACGCAGTATATTTGTATTCACGCGAGATATGCCGTCTCCCGAACCATTGCCCGCCACTCACGCCTCCGATCACTTCAAGCCCTATGTATACAATGATCCGCAAATAGTGGACATTAGATCGACCTCTTCTTGTTTGGCAGAACAGCTCAACAAAGCCCTCGAACTGAGATACCAGGCGAGTGATGACATCTTTGGATCGCCCACTCGCAGAGAGTATACCAAACCAAGCGTTACTAACCTCGATCACTTTGACATTTATTGATCTGACATTTAGTTCTTAGAAAATGCTCATTCATTTGTAGACACAATCCTCAACAAATCAAATAAAACTATTGGTGTCTAAAACAGTCATTTTGTTTGCTTTTACATTGAATTTACTAACATTTCCTAAAACTGAACAAATCGTAAATTTGCATTCATTGTTGACACCGAATTTAAAACAATACAAATCTATCGCTAAATGCAATTAACAGTAGAAAAAGTGATATTTAGATTATTTATATAGATATTTATTACATAAAATATGAGAGAATTCTTTTATATTCTTCGTTATAAATCTCATAATAACGAGAAGAATATAAACATTTGCTAACATACGAGTTGATTGTATAGTAAAGAAATACAAATGAATTGAATTATATATTTATTAATGGAAAAGAAATTCAAAAATGCGTTCACTTTTTCCACAAAAACTATAAGATTTAAAATTATTTATATACTGTTTGTCATAAATAATCAAATTATACATTGAATCCAATATTTCTTATGCCACGTAATGATACAGATTTGTGTTCTCTTTATCCCTTTCGAGATAATCTCTTTCGATGAGACTTTCGATTCTTTTCTTCAGATCCGCCGGCTTTCGGATAAAACAAGACATAAAATGAATCAATTGATTGAATGAGAAAAAGAGTGCTATAATTACTTTGACCGGGAATTTGAGCTGATCGTAGAGTTCAGACAACAGTATGTTATGTGTGAGAGTCTTCCTGGTCTTCATGATGCGAACGATGGCCGCATCGATCTGATACTGCCTGTCCTGGAAGACCCTCTCCTGAGTGGTCGCCTGTTCCTCTTGCTGTACAACAAAAGCAATCTATTATAATATGGCTTTAATTGCAAAACACATTCAACACAAACCGTTTCCTTGAGTTGAATTTGATTGATCTTAATTCTGAAGAGTTTATTCTTGAAATCACAATTATATGCGAACCGGTCGTCGTCCAGAATGTCCCGACCCTTAGGAATCTTTGTCAGGACCCGAGCCTTACCGCACGCTAACGACTGTAACGTTCGCCGCAATTCGCTGTCCTCTATAGCAGTCGACTGTTTAATGTCTTCCAACGAGAATTCGTTGTTATCGTTAAACAATACCAAAACTAATGCCTGGAATAGCGAGACTTGCAGTTCTTTATTACCCTAAAAGTGAATTCAAATGCAAATCAATGAATAGAGTGATTGTGTTGTGTTTTACACATGAAAAATCATACCCCAGTAAAGCAAGCTTTGAGGACACAGTGACCTAAGTTCGGCTGCCACTGAAGTTTGCGTCCGCTGTGTTTGGAGAGATAGAACCTCTTAAAGATCTCTTGGTATTCAACCATTTCTGACGGCATATGGACTTCCATTGGTTGATATGTCGGCCAATAACCCATTGTTAATATATTGACATTCATTTCGACGGCACCGTTGGGTTTGACATTATTCAGGTATTGTTTGAAGTTCAGCATCAGTTCTTTGGAGAGTTCCATGTCTTTGAACATACCCTCCAGTTTGGAGGTGAAGGCGGCCCCGCATTCCTGCTTCAACTTAGAGAGCATTGACTTCTCGGCGTCGACCGAAGCGGACTTTCCCACCAAAAGTCTTTTCGCCAAATCTTTCTTATAGAAGGCTTCGAACACATCCTTTCCGTGAATAAACCGAAACAAAACCATTATTTTGTCCAAAAGTTTTTCTAACTCCTCTTCAGTGGCCTCTTTATTACCGGCCCTTAGCTTTGAATCGACAAATTTGGCGATCATTTCCGCCGGTTTATTAGCCCTTTGATTAATGAACTGTTCGAACGCCTCCTTCAATGAGTTCGTGAACTTCTCGTTTCTGGAGAAGCATTGAGTGGCGACTAAATCCATCTGATCTTTAAAGTCAAGCAATTCCTGAACCATTGTTTTGTCTTTTTCAGGACACGTAACGACTACTTTTCCCTTTTTCTTAATATATTGGTTGAAATGAGAACACAGTTCTCCCAAACCCTCCTTCACGCGACTCATCAGATTATACATGAGAGACAAGTCTGCGGTTCGGTGTGTGTCTAACAACTGTTCCAACCCTTTCTGCAAAATGTTTGGCAAATGTTCAGAAATCAGCTGTTTTTCAACAGTTTGTATCAATGGTTTGCGAGTCGAGTGATCCAAATAATGAAGCAAACGCTCCCACTCTTCGTTCACTCGTTTGTCGACGTGTGCCAAATAGTCGGGCACTTCCATCGACTGCATCAGCCTCTGGCCCTCCGCTGCGTAAAGCTGTTCCGTCGACTGCAAGAACCGGACTTCAAACGCGTTTCGATATATCGACAAATCGGAGAGCATTCGGAGCAAACCCTTGAGGAGTCCTCTGTCCACTCCTTCGCCGTTTCTCTCGCTTTCAATCAATTTCAACAATCCGTCAACAGTTCTCGTCTGAACTATACTATCATTTGTGATGTTTTTGCGAAACATTTCGAGTCCCATATCCCTATCGTTTCAATATTATGTCATTCAAAATGCATTCAAATTAACAATTTTAACCAAAAGTCATACCAAATGGAGAGGATTTGTGCCGTTTGGAGGACATATGTTCGGTCCAGATATAGAAATATACTCCGAATCATAATCTGTATAAATAGTGACCATTTCTATAGTAAGTGAAACCATTCAATTAACTTAATTATCGTACCATTTGATTGCAGTGCGATTGCCAGCAATTGTTCATTAGTTTCAGATAAGACAAGTGATCCATATCTGCGTTCAAGAACTGAAGGACACAATTCTTGACGTGTATTTCGACCAAAGACTCCAATTGTTTGTACAGATCGGGTGCCATCTTATGGAAACACAGATTGCCGACCGCCTGATAGAGCTCTTCGAGCGAAGTGCTCACCGGTTCTGACATTTGGATGGCGACCACCGCCTCCTTCAGGCGATCCCATGTCTGGATTGAGTAGTTTTCAGGCAATTTTGGCTTTTCTGAAGGTTTTCAAAAAACAATACATTAATGGCTTATAAATGAATGAAATGAATGGTTGTTAACAGTAAACGAACCAAAGTTTTTGATGACCAGTTTCTTGGCGGCGCCGGGCTTTGCATTGTTAGCCAATTGTGTGTTTTTGTTGACACCATTAGAAGACAATGAGAAGCGATTGTTTTGATTGTTAACAGCGATTGTGTTTTCACTCATTTTCACATCAGTTTCAATGTCTTCGCATTCAATGCGAACTCTTTTCGCGGAAATATATTTATTATGATTACTATTATTATTGATATTACTATTACTGGTGTTGAGAGCCTTGCGTTTGTCGATCACTGGCGCGGATCTGACGGCGACTTCGGGTCTATTGTCTCGCAATGACTGTTGTCTCACGTCTGGAGTGGCGACCGATCTCTCAGATGTGGAAGCATTCAAGTGTGACATTCGCCCACTTTTACCATCGATTTCACGACAACACTAATCCACAACCAATCGATGCTATCCTTTATCTCATTTGATCCGCAAATCAACACTTAATCCAAGAGTTAATTACGAAAAACACAATAAGTTTTGTCTGTGTTTTGGCTTTCAATGCATTCATTCACACAATCCTTGTGTTGTGTTTCAGTGCTCTCAACACAACAATACTCTGTGCCGTTGTGTGCGTCCAATGCATGGCTCACACACACAGCCCAACCCTATGCGGCCCCAAACCATGCATACAATGCCACACATTATTCTGCGTGCGGTTAACGAATGAAATGCAAACAAAAAACTTATATTTTTATTGATTTTCAGTAAACGTTTTGATCACAACTTTTTTGTGTCTACTTTTTTCAAACCATGCATACAATGCCACACATTATTCTGCGTGCGGTTAACGAATGAAATGCAAACAAAAAACTTATATTTTTATTGATTTTCAGTAAACGTTTTGATCACAACTTTTTTGTGTCTACTTTTTTGGACAACAAGTACTTTACGGACCCATTAAGTGGTGATCACACGAAGACATGGGAGTGACGGGTCTGTGGAGTGTCGTCGACGGTGTCGGACATCCCATCAATTTAGAGACACTTAACAATCAAGTGATAGCAATAGGTTTGCAGTGTTTTGATTTCACAACACTTTTTACATACAATTTAAACGCATTTCTCAAACGTGTGTCTCATTTATTGGCAACAGATTTGTCTCTTTGGGTGAATCAAGCGATTAAAGGCTTTCGTCACCGAAATGGTCAACCGGTAGACAACGCCCACGTGTTGGGACTCTTCCACAGAGTGTGCAAACTCTTGTTCTACAGAATCAAACCGGTGTTTGTCTTCGACGGTATGTGTCCTCAACTCAAGCGCAACACAATCGCGAAGAGAGCCGAACNGTGTTTGTCTTCGACGGTATGTGTCCTCAACTCAAGCGCAACACAATCGCGAAGAGAGCCGAACAGAGAGTGAAAGCTGTGGACAAATCTCGCGAGTCGTCGGTCAAAGTGTTGCACAAATATCTCTCGTCTCAACTCTCCTCGAGTGCTGCCAAACAGTTGCTGAGCAGTGAATCGTTGCCATCACTTGAATCTTCGTTATATCCGATGCCAGACAACAGTGACTTCAAGATATGTGAAGAGTTGAATGAATTGAATGAGAGCGACAAGAATGGCAGCGACGGTGACAGTGAATCGGAAGACGATTCCAATCGGCCCGTCGCTCATAGTTATAGAAATATCCAGAATTTGGACTTAATTGATGTCAATTCCGAAGAAATCAAATCATTGCCACTCGATATACGATACGAAGTGCTGACGGAATTGAAGGCTAAATACAAAGGATATCGAAATCAAGAGCTAATGCCCACTGAATCCAACGATTTCTCCAAATACCAAATGCAGAAACTGCTGAAGAAACGCAAACTTCAGTCAAAAATAGAGCAAACAATCAGCGAATTGAATGGTCAGCACTCGGAGGAAGTGATTGAGAAATTTGATAAAAAGGATTTCTATTTTGAGAGCCAATCGACTGCCGGACGTCTCATGTCGGATGAAAACACACGGTTTGTGTTCATTAAGAAATCGCAGACAACTTCTTCATTGATGAGCACTGAAGGCAAGAATCTTGAAACTAAAATGACAGCAATTACTGCACAGATTCCCTCCACATCCAAGTCTTCGGTGACTGATATCTTACACGATATTAATTCTGGACATTCAGACGATAAAGAACTCGATGTGAATCCTATAAACAATGCGAATAACTTTATCACAAATGAATACGATTTTAATTCTGATATACCTTTTAATGAATTGCATGAAACCATTGAAATATCGGACGAAAGTGATGTCGAAAGTGATCAACAATTAAATGTAAATAATTGTAACAAAAATGAGATTAAATCTAAATCGTGTGAAATTCAACCCCCAATTGACTCAAATCTCTTCACCAAAATTAAAACAGTGATTGAAGTGAGTAGTGATTCAGATAATGATTTTGTGGAGGTTTACCCGCCATCTGACAATTCTCTGTGCCAATCACTGGATTCAAGTTTGAAAGAAACGGAAACTTTAGAATTAAATCAAAAGAGTTCACAACTTATAGAAGAAGACGACAGTTTTGACAGTTTCAATGGATCCGATGATATCTGCATTGATTTTAACACTCAAACGATGTCTCTTCCAGAGAAGAATCAATTTAGTGTTGAAACAGAGAAAACGCCCAATCAATCGGAACCGAGTTCTTCGCAATCGATGCCTTCCGATAGTATTTCACGCGAAGAACTAATGGAATCGATTCGTGATGTGAATAAACAGAATCGTATGGCAAACAAAACCACTGACACAATGATGTCTGATTGTCAGGAATTGTTGAAATTGTTTGGCATTCCGTTTATTGTGAGTCCAACAGAAGCTGAGGCGCAATGCGCTGCTCTCGAGATGTTAGGTCTGACCGACGGTACCATCACTGACGACAGCGATGTTCTTCTGTTCGGCGCTCAGACGGTGTACAAGAATTTCTTCACTTCCAGTAAATTTGTTGAACTCTTTAAGAGCGTTGATATCGAGTCCAGATATGGATTGAGCCGTTCGTCAATGATTTGCATTGCATTGCTTTGTGGCAGTGATTATACGGATGGCGTCGACGGTGTGGGAGCCGTCACCGCCGCTGAGATATTAAGCGAATTTCCAGGCAATGGACTCAAACCACTCGTCGATTTCAAGGATTGGTTGACATCTAAACAGAAATGCAAAGACAAACGACCGGAGAATTCAATTCGAGCCAAATTCTTAAAGATTCGTCTCAACGACTCGTTTCCCAATCGAGTCATATTCGATGCATATATGAGTCCAACGGTCGACAATTCAAAGGAGAAGTTCTTGTGGTCAATGCCTCAACTCGAAGAACTCAGACGTTATGCGAGCCTTAGGTTTGGCTGGAGTTCAACCAAAACTGATTCCATTCTTTTGCCAGTATTGAAGAAAGTAAATGAAAAACAAGTATTGATTTTATTTACACATATTTGTAGAGTAAATTGGATTAGACTTAATGCTCACTATCATTACGTTTATCTTTCAGAGCCAAATGACAATTGATAACTACTTCAAAGTTCAGGTACAGCCGAAAGACACAGCAATACTAAGCAAACGATTGAATACAGCGATCAATAAATTGCGAGGAAAAGAGTCCGAATCGACGGCCAATCCATTGGTTCCCAACAAAACGAATTCATTGTCACAGAAAGTAAAAAATCAAAGAACGAAACGGAAGGTTAATGTGAATAAAAGCAAACCAATTGCCAGAGGAAAGAAAGTTCTCAAATCGACTGCAAGACATCAAACGCCACAAGAAGTTAATTTGTCCGAAAGTAGCACTGATTCCGAGTAATTCATACATCATTTCATTGAAATCTTTTTAATATATTAATACATAACATATATTCTTATATTCATTGCATATATTGTTTGAAGTTTTTAATAAAAGAAAGCATTTATACAATTTTGAAGTCGACTAATATTTTCGTTGCATTAAATGTTTAATTATTTTATGAAAAACACATTAAATGCCACTCAAAATGATTGGTGATTAATATCTAAATCAATCGTAATATACTTTATACTAATTATACGGCAAAACAATAGGCAGTGATTTGTTTTAAACTTAACTAAACATATGTTTTTAATTAAATTCATATCTAAATTAAATACATTTCGATCGAGAAATCACTGATAATTTCTGATAACATAAGGGATTTAAGAGTATGTCTAGGATTGAGTTCAGGCGCCGAGTTTGGTGTCGAGCTCTTCCCAGAACTTGCGGGCGGCGACCGCTTTGAAATAATAGCCACATTCGCAACGCTTCGGTTCACTCATATGGACCCACATGTAGTTCAGATGAGTGGCGTCTTCTTCGCACAGACAGCCGATCAGACGCTTGTCTTCAAAGGACGGCACGAGATTTGGCTGCTCTGTAACCATACAAACAAAGGGTCAGTACATCACAGACGGGAGCGGATAGTTGTGATGGCTGTGAGGGTTGCGATCATACCTTTAGTTCCGGGTCCGCGATGTCTGGGTTTGGAGCAAAAGGGGTCGTCAATGCCCTTCTCTTCGGCGAGAAGGAGCAGCTTCTCGAGTCCGGTCGCGTGCTCTATCTCGTCGGGCAATCGGATCTCAGACTCCTTCACATCTGTTCCGTCCACTCGTCGAAGTTTGCCGAAGAATTGACGCCGACTTTCGTACGAAGTGTTGCCCAACACTGCGGGCAATACATTGCAGCTCTTGAGCAACGATCGGGTGGTCACCGGATGTGACACTAAGCGCAACAATTGTGCCATCGATTCAATGCAAACGCTTTAATCGCTTTCAACCGTTAAATCAAATCAATTGTGATTTTAATAAACACTCAATTGAGTCGTCTATGGCTTTGATGTTTGCCTTTACTCTCGTATAGAGTGTCGAAATGTAGGCTTTAATGCATTCAACGCCTGTTTTCAATGCATTTCAATGCAATTCAATGTCTTTGAAGTGTTTGCGAAAACAGTTCTCTCTATTTGTTTACCAAAAACTCCATTCAATGGCTTATCGTTTGCCCAGAGATTACGTTACCATAGATTTCATACATAAATAACGCAACGCTTTGGACGTAATTTGTTGTACAGATTGTCAACACTTTGTGCTGAATCACGAAATCATCGGTTGGTTTGCTTCAAGTCTTTGCCCAGAGATTACGTTACCATAGATTTCATACATAAATAACGCAACGCTTTGGACGTAATTTGTTGTACAGATTGTCAACACTTTGTGCTGAATCACGAAATCATCGGTTGGTTTGCTTCAAGTCTTGTCTTTCAATTGTTATCATTTGATCCGTAAGTATAGATCCAGACGTGAAGAGTGAGTGACAGTCTTGTTGTTGACAGAGATATACTGACGATAAGGCGATGGAAGGGCTGATTGGGATCCGTTTCGATGGCTTCTGTCTGATGGCTTCGGACCGATTGAGCGCTCACTCGATAATAGTGGTGAAGAACGACGAGAAGAAGTTGTATGAATTGAGTGACCATTTGCTGCTCGGAGTGAACGGCGAGAGCGGAGACACGAATCAATTCGCGGAGTTTATTGAGAAGAATATTAAGTTGTATTCAATGAGGAATGGCTTTGAATTGTCGCCCAAATCGGCCAATACTTTCATTCAACGCAATTTAGCCGATTATCTTCGGTCGCGAACCCCATATATGGTGAACCTATTGCTGGCCGGATATGACACGATCGCCGATAAGCCGGAGCTCTATTTCATGGACTACTTGGCCACCAATTGTACGGTTCCGTACGCTATGCACGGCTACGGCTCGTTCTTCGGCACATCAGTGCTCGACAGGTATTATAAGAGCGACTCAACACAAGAGGAAGCGATCGAATTGCTTAAGAAAGTGGTCCACGAGATCCTACGGTTCCGTACGCTATGCACGGCTACGGCTCGTTCTTCGGCACATCAGTGCTCGACAGGTATTATAAGAGCGACTCAACACAAGAGGAAGCGATCGAATTGCTTAAGAAAGTGGTCCACGAGATCCAGAAGCGATTAGTGATCAATTTGCCCGCATTTCAAGTCTGTATTGTCGACAAACAGGGCGTCCGACAGTTGGACGACATTGTCTTCGACCCGATAGCCGTCGGACTCCACACTGTTATCCCACAGACGGGCCAACACGTGGTCCCAATGAGCCACTAATTGTTTCCTAAATTATTGCCTCTTTTCTCTGATTTTTACTTGTATTTCAAATAAAACATTTTTGATTAAAAGACTTAATTGTAATTAATTATTCAATTTAATCGATTTAAAAGACAATATTGTAAAGTAAAGTGGAGTCAAATGTTGTGATGATTCTAAAAGTAATCAAATGTCAAAATATTTGATCCAAAGAATTCGTGTCATATGCGGTGACTAAACATGTGATCATTTGCTAATAATGTTGTGTTAAATGTTTATCATTTGTTCACAAGTCGTCGATTATATTCAATAGATATCGCGTTAAACGACGGGAAAAAATGTTTGCTTTATCACTGAATTTTGGGTTAAATTTCAATATTTTAAATGATTTAAAAGTAATTTGATATTCAATTGAAGTGTTATTCTGTGGTGTAATACTAGACTAATTTCGACGCTCTTTTGGCGTTCAATTTCAACTCAATTATTTTGGTTTTGCCTATAATTACATAAACTATTGATTTGATATGTTTTTAGCGTTTAATTTGATATTTTTATTTTTACTAACGAAGTTATGCCAAACTATTTGAGTGCTATATTACCGATAGTAGTATTGAATATATGAATTTTTCGAAGTTAAACGATAACTTCGTGAATCCTATAGGAAATCATTGAAATATACTTATCTTTCTCCAGCCGTAAATACCAAATTACAAATCTGTATTTAAAATTTTTTTTTAATAGAATACATCTATTATCCCTTTACAAATTATACATTGGGACTATCTTAATAATTCTTATAGTTTAACCAGTAACCGTGATTCAAAATGTACTACTACCCCTTTAGGTAATCAATGATTCATGGGAAATTATCGTTTAACTTCGAAAAATTCATATGTTTTAACGGCAAAACAACAGCAATATCTATGAAACTATAGAGTGGTTTCTAGAATTGGCAAAATACAACATTTTTTGAAGTTATAGGATGTTTAACACAAGAATCCTTGTATACAAGTATTTAAACAATAATTGTTAATTATTAGTGATTGAAATGATATAACACGTATAATTAATACGTAAGATAAATGCATTAAAATTGCTTAATCTTTGTTTTAAAATATGATAATTTTTCCCCATTAGTACCAATATGTATGTCAGATATAAATAGATGGTAATAATATCCAAACATATTTGAATTTTGACCACAAGTGGACACCCCTTCCGAAAATAGTGTTAAGTCCAATAAGTCTGTCGGCTCGACGACTCTCTGGAACTGGCAGTGGTTTACATCACATTTTTTGGTTTGCAATTTAGACATTAGATGTTTATTAATCATTTTAAATAGTTATTTATACTTTCCCGACCCGTACTGTCCCGTTCCAGACATAACACCAAAATCATACTATCCTTAATGCTTTTCAATACGGGTTTTAGGGGCGGTTCGGTACTATGTCTGGAGCGGGAAATTACCAATAACTATTTAAAATGATAAATATTAAATAGTTATTAAATATGAGAAAGTATGTGATGGTTATATTTTATAAAAACTAATCATTTTAAATCTCGATTGATTACTTGTTGAAGGCGTTGAGCACTACTTTAAATTTTAAAGTTTAAAAGTGAATGCTTTAAATGGTTTGCAATTAAATTGCTGTATAATTAATTTATTGTTACTTTAAAAATACAAAAAAACTTGAATTCACAAACAGTGCCGCACTTATAGTGAAGATATGAAAATCAATTAATTATTTTAAAACATAGATTGCGATGAAATTCATTTTCAATTTGCAATAATTTCATATAATTTATAATATTAATGGTTTGTATTTTGATTTTTATAATTTTCTGTTAATTCATTAGTCAACATGGTCAATTTTTAATAACTAAAATATTTTTATTTTAATTATAAGTTGAGTTGTAGTATAAAAAATGGAAATTATATGTTAAAATAAAATATTACATTAAATATTTTCACAGAATACAGAATAACATTTAACAGAACAGAATGCAGTAAATAATATTTAAAAATTTTTATTATTTTTATTTAATATTTAAATTTTTTAAATTTCAATAAAAGATCCGATCATTGAATTCATAATGAATATTTAATATTTAATTTATAACAATATTTATTGGAAACTTAACATTTCTAAACTTAAAATTTAATGATTTTAAACGAAATACTGATTTCATTGTTTTGATAAAATATCTTAAGTCATATAACATTTGCGGACATAACTTAGAAAACTAAAACTATTTTAAACTAATTGTTTAATAGATGTAACACAATATGATATGGAAATGAAACTGTATTTATTGAGTTACCAAATGGTGCCAAACTATATCCACATTTGAAACCGGAGATAATTACATCTGAAGAGTCATTCTCTAAAAAGTATTTGGGAAATGCAATAAAATGGATGAAATAATATTTAAAAATCAATATGGTAAATCAAAAATATATACAAATTACCTTGTGTATAATCAATGTATATAATATCCTATACAAATAATTAACTTTTATTGCATTTCTAAAATATTGTACAAGTTACTTCATTTGATATTTGAAAAGCCATGGATAACATGACCCATACATACTTTGTAGGACCAGCTCTTCAGAGACATTATCCCGTTTTGTAGTTCAATAAATACAGTTTCATTTCCATATCATATTGTGATATATCTATGAAACAATTCGTTTAAATTACTTTATTTTAGTTTTGTTATGTTCCGCAAATGTTAAATTAATAATAGTAAGATTGTCATATCTTATAATCATTTTGATAATAAAAATATATTTATTTATATTTTATTGTATTTTAATATTCATGAAAAATCTTATTATCTTAATATTACAATATTTAAGTTATATTCAATACAATTATACTGTACTTAAAAGTTATAGAGAATTACAACCTTTTGTTTGTATTAAAAGTTAAATAGAAAATTGATTGAAATTAATTTAAGAATAAAAATATTTAAATAATTTTTCGGACTTATATTTAAGTCACATATTCTATAGAAACCTTCAAATAGTC